GTAGACCGGGAGGAAAGCAAGTCAACTTCAGGGTTTGTGTTTACTTTAGGAGGAGGGAGCCATAGTATGGAGGAGTGTCAAGCAGAAATGCGTGGCGGACTCAACCATGGAGGCTGAGTATGTAGCAGCCTCAGAGGCAACGAAAGAAGCTATCTGGCTTAGGAATTTTCTCCTCGACCTTGACGTGGTGCTGAGTTTGCCCGCTGCAATCACAGTGTTCTGTGATAACAGCGGAGCAGTAGCAAATTCGAAGGAACTACGGACTCATAAAGCGAGTACACACATAGAGCGCAAGTACCACCTGATACGAGAAATCGTTGGATGAGGAGAAGTCGTTGTTGCCAAGATACAATCAGAGGACAACCTAGCAGATCCTTTTACGAAGAGCCTACCGGCGAAAGTCTTTACGAGACACGTAGAAGGAATGGGAGTCAGATGTTAGGGAAACATAGGAGACTAGTCTTTGAGAATTAGATTGAAAGAAATTGTGGTTATTTTTGTTTAGCCATGAGCTTATAAAGCATAAGTGGGAGATTGTTAGAGGTATGCTGTAAAAACGATGTTTTGCAGTTTCTATCAATTCCATTTTGATCTGGCAATCATGTTTCGGTCAAAGTACATATGTTTGCAGTTTATTTAATTATGCAATACATATTCTATGTCTTATATTGAGATAGTGTGGTTTGAAGAGTTTCGAACAGAAAGATCACCTATCGGTTCCTTATAAGACTAAACTATTCGGTCATAGTCTAGACTGGCAGTGAGACCCCACTTGGAAAAAGACTGTAGTGTATTCCCGATTTAGTTGGTCTTTGACTGAAGGATTACACTGGCACTTATGTTAAGTGTTGAACAGGATCGCGGAAGGCAAAGTTTATGAGACTCACTGACTGTTGTTGTAAGCTCACCCTTCAGTGATTGATCAGTTCTCTTAAGTTGTAATATAATATAAAATAGGCATATATTTTTATCTCTTATTTATTTGATTTACCAAGTGATTCCTATTCTGTTAGAATGACATACGAAGTATTTTGGTAAGTAAGAATAATTATATGATGTGCTATTGTAGATCATTTACAGGCACTATGTTCCAGTGCGCTGGATTGATTACGTCCCCAAAATGAGCTCAGAAAGGAACCTTATGTTAAACCCTGCAGGTAGACGATTGTCTGACATAATGGTTAAAGGCTGAGTGGTACTAATTTCAGAAATGAATAAGAAGTTGATTAATTATTTTGTCAGTAATTTAATTAATCAACGGACGTTATATCTTAAACATAAGGAGGTAAATCGATCAATCAGATTAATATTATTTAATCATGGAGGCTCGATTTTATTGGTAAAATAGTGGCTAAATGGGGAGTGCAATAATATTACTCTAGTGGGATGTTTTATTATTTAATTCCATTAAATAGGAATTCATTTTATTCCATATTAATTAATTAATTAGGAGAATAAAATTCCTACTAGAATCTTCTCTTGGGATTAGGAGACTTGGGAGTCTTCTAGAAGATGAAGATTAGTGGGAAATATATTTCCTACATTATATAATTAATTTGAGTAAAATTAGGTTTCCTAAATTAGGAATTAATTTTATTCCATAGTTATTAATTTAATTAGGAAAGATTTTCTTACAAGGATCTTCTCTATTGTTAGGAGACTTAGGAGTCTTCTAGAAGGAGAGGATTAGTAGGAGATTTCCTTCCTACGTTAAATTAGTATTGGGATAGAATTAGGTTTCCTAGGCCTAATGGGATAAGCCCATATTTAGAACCTCCTTAAGGTCCCTAATGGAGTCTATATATACACCATGTCCCAAACCTCTCCTACAAGTTGTGTTGGCTGATTTTCTCATCTACATACGCGTGAGAATTGCTTTCTTCGAGAGTTAGGGAGATTCGATTAAGCACTCCACCAAGTTTGATCGAAGT